AAGCATTACATATTCGAAGCTCAGGTGATGGTCACTCGACAATCGCGCTTCAAAAAGTTTAAGATTATGGCCTTAAAAATGCATTTACAAAACTTTGCCTGTTTGTTTACATCCCCAGTAGAAAAGGCGACCTAAATACAGCTTTTGACGGTTGATTTGGCACGCTTTTACTAATTTCACTCTAGTCTCGATTATCCAAGTAACCAAGTCGCGCGTAAAGTTGAAGCTGACAGCGGTTCGAAGTGTCATCCCTCAGCTTTTTCCGAAACAAGTCCGGTCGTGCTGTAATTTGCATCGCCAGAATATAAACACTATCAACAAACTAGATTTTTTGAGATTGATAAMAGAAAACCTAACCAATAAAAGTATATTTTCGCAACTGAAAGTCTGAAGACATAGTAAACTGTATTCACTTGCTTGTTTACGTCTCCATGGTGAATTTTAAAAGCCGCGGCTGTAACTCATAATACCATACCCATTTTTTTTTTAAAAAAAGGATAGTGGTAGATACAGGTAAAAGTTAAATATGGTCTGAGAGACCAATTGTGTTTCGTATTAACAGAATCGCTGATACGTCATTCCATACTTAGTAGAAGTTGAAAGTCTTCCCGTGCTAACTCTCAGACGAAAGTCAGATGACTTCGAACTCCGAGAACCACACGTGTATGAATCGGTCACCGTGATGCCGGATTTTGCCGACATTCGGCGTTGTGGATTCTTTATGCTAGATTATTATCCAAAATACAAATATCCAAAATGCAAAGAACAAGTTCTCCAAAGCTTTATTTGGAACATTTCAAACTCTAGCTGTGACAATTAAGATTAAAACGTAATAAAGTTGTCTCAAGTGATCAAGTGTTCTAGAAATATCGCGTTCGTGATTGAAAAAGCCATACAAATGTCGTTTTATAAACAGTTATAGTAACCGTTAATCAGTTAATCAAATATATCATCAAATATAAGGAATTAAAGAGAATTGGGTTTATTTATCCTCTAAATAGAGAAACATGTGTGTTTCTTTTCTCATCCAGTGTAGTGCTCGTACAAAACCAAGTTGTTGAGTCGTCGTTTTTAACAGTGTCGCGTTCGAGTTCGTTGAAATTTTTTCCATAAATATTGATTTAAAAGCCATAAGATTTCATCGAAAGTGATATATATTATTAGAGTAGATTGATATATCTTTCGTATCTTTCTTTGAGGCGTTTTATTTTCTGTGCGAAATGACTATCCATCGATATGAGAATTGTGCGAACGGTCCGAAACTTCGGGCGAAACGACTTGTGCGAACGGTCTCTTGTGCGAAATAACCTGATACCCTGATTACTGATCATGACTGATAACTGATTGATGACGGCACCTTGAAATATATCACAACATTTATTGTAGGTTGTTGAATACACAGAAAGAAATTTTCGATTAAAAGTTTATGTACATTCGCTTTCTGGCAAATTATACTCCCTGTGACTTTGGTTATACCTTACTATTTATATAATCCAAATTACGAGCTAAATATAATTCTAATTAAATATGACAATGGGATATTAACAAATATGTCATGTTTATATAACCCCAGAAATATAAAACGGCCTCTTTTGTCTCTGTCCTCTAACATAAACACTGTGGGAATTGAATAATACGAGAGAAGCAAGCTAAGAAACACTCGTGCTTCTCTAGTGTTTTCCAACTCTTATCAGCCACGACTCCTCCGGGAGTAAATTTGACAAGACCGGAAATTGCGGTTGTTTATATCAGAGTACAGAGACACAAGTGGCCATTTTTATAGTTCTTTTATAAAGATTTTTTGTCTCTGTCCTCTGATATAAACACGGTCGTCAGCGCATTACGTATTAGATATTTTATAAATAAAACTATAATATTATTATAATATTATTATAATGGCATTTGAGTCAGGTCTGAGATTTCTCGTTCATGGCAATGGATTGACGTGCCGTTATTTGATCGGTATGACATTGCAGAGCATCGCGCAAGTAAAGCCCTTATCATTAGGTGACGAATCGTTAAGCCCTAATCGTAAGGGACAACTTGCTTGTGTCAGCACAAGGACAAGACATCGCTTCAATTTTAAGTATTAGGTGAATCACGCAAATCAAGCCCTTATCATTAGGTAACGAGTCGTTAAGCCCTAATCATAAGGGACCACTTGCTTGTGTTACAAAGACAAGACATCGCTTGAACTGATGAATTTTGCGTTTTCTGATCCGCCATTATTTGAGAACGTGCCGTCCAACTCATTACATACTCATAGAAGTGATGTCAGAGGCTCACTTGCGCTCAACACGAGTTTGTGGTAATTTTCAACAAGAAGATGAACAGTCAGAGTCTTTTTCGCATTGTTTTATAGAGTTGAATGTAGAAAGATCACTTTGCGCCATATTGTTTCTCTTGTTGTCTCTGCTTGACGTGCGCCTCTGACGTCATACCTGCAGCCGCTGATTCAAANCTCATTTCAAAACTTCACGCAATACAAATATATGACTCATTTATATCTATTAAAAACAATTGCAGGAAAATATTTGTCTTGGAATTATCCCACATCAGAGAAATTTTGATTCAAAAGATGGAAGAACAAAAGAATTGAGTAGATGATGTCATCTACTCCAACATTTTTTGCCCAAATTATTAAGGATTTGATCTAGCCCAAAAACTAACCCTAACCCTAACCCTAAAACCTAACCCTTCCATCATATTCTAACCCTAACCCCAAATCTGGAACCCTAATTGTTGCCCTAGGTTACAGAAACCCTAAGCATTGCCGAAGACTAGCCCTAAGCCTAACCTCCGCAGTCCGTAATTTAAAGCCGTTTTTTCCTTTTTCGAAGGAAATAACGATAAAGAAGCTGCTCCTGAAATTGAGATTGAAATACTCCACAAAACAGGACATGCGAACTAATTTTTTTAATTGCCAATAGATTACTTTATTAAGTGTGATTTTACAAAATGTTTAGGTGATGATATTTTGGAGTAAACATGAAGACCAACCAAAACAAACCGAATCAGCTAATGAAACGTGTTTACACACCAACTGTTAACAACCACAACTAGAAATGCTTGAAGCTACACAAGAAAGAATCCGCTATCTACAACAATTGCTTTGATCAGAGTTACATGCTACACTAGAGTGAGCATGGACGTGTTTGTTTGAGCTCCGACTATAAATTACTTTTTCTGCTCAAAAAACGTTAATGCCAACCAATAAGAAGAAGAAGGATAAAAGTATGACTAAAGATATCTCTAAAATACAGAAAGAAAATGAAGTCTTGAAGGAAAAAGCCCTGGAATTCGAACAGGAGTTGAAAGAAGAACAAGAAGAACAAGAAAGAAAATGAAGTCTTGAAGGAAAAAGCCCTGGAATTCGAACAGGAGTTGAAAGAAATGAGAGACAAGATGGCTGCCATCAACAACCAGCTCCACGAACTGGATAAAAGCATGCAATTCTTGTCTGATGAATTTGATGATTTCAAATCTTTTAAATCATCGTTGGAAAAGGATGTCAACAGAATGCTCTCAAAGTTAAAGGATCTTGAAGAGGGTATTGCCAGAATTGATGAAGCCATTGAAGCAATCCACAAGTACAGCTACCAGTACAATCTTAAAATCCTTGGTATCCCACAGAAAGGCCGAAAGGAAACCTCAAAACAGTCCGTTGATAAATGCCTTAAACTCTTCCAAAGTATCGGTGCAGAAGTATTATCGTATGATATCGATATTGCGCACAGAGTCCCATCCAGGAATGCTAAATTTACTCTGCCGATCATTTGCAAATTTACTCACAGGATTGCCAAGGAATCTGTTATGAGTTGCAGGAGTGAGGCAAACAACATTGATCTTGAAGATATTGGTCTAACAAAATCAACTGGAAAAATTGGTATCTATGAGCACCTCACACCCAATACGCAAGATCTCTTCAACAAAGCTAAGATATTTCAGAAGGAGAACAAGTACGCCTTTTGTTGGACCAAGAACTCCAATATTTTCCTGAAAGAATCCGAAGACTCAGTGGTTATTCGAGTCACCAGTCCTGAAGTCCTAGAGAACATGGTTAATGATGCTTCTATCTCTGAAACTGCTGGTATATCACCTGGTGCCTCGATGAGTTTCAACCAAAGAGGCGGACCGAACACAAGATCGTTTCGTTCTAGGGGTAGAGGAGGTCCACGAACGAGATCAAGCTACAACCGCGATGAATTATCTGCAGTCTTTGGAAAATTGAGATAAGTTTGTTAATAATCTTCAACTCAATAATCTAGCATTTTCAATGAACTTAAAGCGTATCTGAAAGAACTCCCATATTATAGTCAAAATATTTTATCAGTCCATGGACAATTTAACAATCTACCAGCTGATTGCAGGCTACCAACAAAAAAATATCTGGACAAATTACATAGTATTCACGATCTTGACTTATTCAATCTTAACACTAAGCAAAGTATAGATATATCTACTGCGAATATAATATGTTCTAATTATTACTCTCCAAGCAGTTTTAAAAATTTGGTAGATAGTATTTGAATATTCCAAATTTTGCTTTTGAATACGTACCAACTCCCCTATCCGCTGGGGGCGTTGGTTTATATGTTAACAAAAGGCTTAATTACTAAGTGCTGGAAGAGACTTCAAATGAATCTTTTCAATCACTGTGGATTGAAATTCAGTTGAACAACAAAAAGAATGTTATTTGTGGAGCTGTTTATAGACAGCATAATTCCCCCGATACCTTCTCATCTTATTTTGATAATGTCTTAGACAAGTATAGCTCAAAAGGAAAACATATTTATGTCCTTGGAGATTTCAACCTAGATTTACTTAAATTTGAAAGATGCAAATTCTCTGAGAGTTTTCTTCTCTTGCTACAAAGCTGGTATCTATTTCCTACGATTGATAAACCCACTCGAGCCTTTGGCTTATACTCATGCCCTGTGAATTTCTTAAAATCATCAAGACATATTGTTAGTATACACTTAGCTAAGCTAATGAATTTATCTGTTAAGACAGGTCGATACCCAACAAGACTAAAGAGCTCTAAGATCATCCCAATTCACAAAGCTGATGATGACACTGATCCTTGCAATTATCATCCTATTTCGTTATTGCCGTTATTTAATAGGATCTTCGAAAAATGCATGTATAATAGATTGTTAAACTTTGTTGATAGCAGTAATATCTTAACTGATTTTCAATATGGATTTTGAAAGGGCCATTCTACACATCATGCTGTCCTTGACATCGTCAGTACTATACAATCAAATATGGAGAAAAAACTATTCACATGTGCTGCTTTCATTGACCTAGTTAAGGCTTTCGACACTGTAAACCACAAGATACTTCTGAAGAAACTTTATATTTATGGAATAAGAGGCTGTCTATATGATTGGTTTAATTCCTATCTGTCTGATAGGACTCAGACTACAGCTGTAAATTCTTACATTTCAAACAAGGAATTAGTAAAATATGGCGTTCCACAAGGCTCTGCCCTTACTATTTCTAATATATGTTAATGATATCTGCAATAGCTCTAAAATACTAAGATTYCACCTTTTTGCTGACGACACTAATATTTTAGTAGCTGACAGATCTTTAAAAAATCTTGAAAGAATCATGAATAATGAATTAACAAGGCTGCAAGATTGGTTAATAGCCAATAAACTGACGCTGAATATCAAGAAAACAAATTTCGTAATATTTCATCCAAGGCAACGCAAACTAAGAGAACATATAAATATTAGACTTTTTGATTTTAAGACGAATAAGTTCATTAACCTTGAGCATAAAGATTATGTTAAATATCTCGGTGTTCTGATCGACAGCAACTTAACATGGAAACCCCACATTGATTATATATGTAACAAAATTAGTAGAATAGTCGGTCTTTTATCTAAACTAAAGATATTTTTTACCTAAATGCACTTTAACTCTTTCCTGTCTGCCCCTTGAAATTTAGGTCGAATTCGACCTATGCGTCAAAAGTCTACAAGTTGCCGAAATAGTACATGTAAGCTAGAGCCCTGAAATTGCTCGTACGAACTTACTAGTAGATACTGTCGATCTTACAGTTGAAAGAATTTCGCAACGAGGAAACAAAAGACACAAAACATGACTCTGCTTTGAAATGAATGCCAAAATCTGAGTTTGAAGGACGGCAGAGTACACTGATTTTCATCTCGATTTGTAGCATCAAAATATGTTCTCCTAGCAAAAAGTCCCCTTGGTTTGCAAACCCCTTTGATAAAACGCCCTCATTTCGATGTTTTTATTTTGATTTTGTCAAATGCACTGCAGATTTTTAAACAGCCCTCTTTTGAAGACCAGGTACAACAAACTTCTATGTACGATCGAAATGCATCATGGGAAGACGGAATTTGGACATAAATCGTGCAGCATTCTTCTTTTAAGTGTGAGCTACTAATAAGTGTGAGCTCCCTTGCACCTACAGGCAAAATATCGGGCCAATTGCATTCTTTGGTTGTCAAATATTGCCAAAATTACCTTGGTAGGTTGGAAAATCTGACACAGATGGACCAGGAAAGCGATCTCACAATGATGCCTCCAGTTCAAAACAAACCGTGACTTGGAGCCATTGTCTTCGAAAAATCGCTTTCCACCTCTGATTTCTTCCAGAAGATTGTCTCTGCCGACTAGTCAAGCTTAATGATGCAAGCCTAGGGGCTCCTGTGGCAGCAAAAAGCTCAAAAAACACTTATAAACGGGTTTTTAGGTAAATTTAGGCTCAACCAGTCGATAAAAAACCGATCTGACCTAAATTTACAAAGCCCTGCATAAATTAATGCTCCCTAGGGAATTCAAATCCGAAATAGTTTTATTGACAGCACCTTAATTATATGGAAGTCAATTATTTTATCAAGATGTTAGGGTCGAAAAAGCTAAAAAATCAACAAATCGACATCAGTCGACAATGAGTTAATATTGATGTATAAATCTCTTCTACAGCCACTTCTACATTATGGAAATAGTATATGGGGACAAGCCAATAAATCTCTGCTTAATAAATTGCTTGTTTTACAAAAAAGAGCCCTAAGAATAATTTTCCGATTAAAACCTACAGAGAGCTCTATTCCTTTCTTTATTGAGACTAATACCCTCCCAATAACACTGTCTTACATAGATTCTGTATCACAATTAATGTATGACATAATCAATGACAGTGCTCCTAGGAACTTAAAATCGCTTTTTACTAGTACCAAAGAGATTCATTCTTATGAAACCAGATCTTCTACAAAAAAATTATCTTTATACGAGATTTTCCAGGTTGAATCTACAAAGAGATTCCTTTTCTCGAGTGGGCGTAAGATTGTGGAATCAAATCCCAGTTTCTTTGAGATCACTGTTGAAATTTCGCTTCAAAAAAGAAGTTTGTCTAAGTTTATTTTGACTATTTAAGAAAAAATGGTTACTATGTTGAAATCTCAAAATTATTTAAGTAATAGTTCAAACAAAATATAGTAATAATATTTAAGTAACAAATGTGCGCAAAAAGCAGGCAACCTTCTATTGTTCTGCGGCAATTGCAACTTCCCCACATATGAATGTCTTGGTTTTCACACTGATTATACATCAGCCTATGGGTAACACATTTTTAAAATAAAATGTGGATAAACTCTGTTTTGAAACAAAGTTTCTTTTGTATTAAAAGATCTTGTCCAATCATAAGCACTCAAAACAATAGCCAAAACATGCTTCTATTTTGCTATGTTCCCCGCATAGAATTGCTATTAATATTAAAGCTAAGGAAAGCTTTTATGAAGTTAGAATCAGATATTAAATAAAATATCAAAAAATGCGATGACTTTTGAAATTATGTCAGATTTTAATGTTTTAACCAATGAGATGGATGGATTATACAATACACAATTAGCACCTTCATGCATTCCATTGCCGTTTGCCTGCCTGTTTCTTACTCGGACCATTACTTAATAATAAGATGCTTTACCTCAAATTATTATTTTTCTTTTTTTCTTTCTTTCTTTCCCGTATATATTTTTCAAGTATATATTTTCCTCATACTCTTCTATTGTCATTGCTCAACTGTAAAATATTTTTAAGTTCTTCTAACATCTAACCTGCCTAGACTAGCCGTTTTGCTATATGCAAGTTATATGTGTTTTTGTCAAATATTACACCGAAGTTATAATAAAATCTGAAATCTGAAAGAAAGAGTTTCTATATGAGGCTACAAGCAAAGTCTAATGCAGATATAAGATACTTTACTAGCATCACTTCCTTTGAATTAGAACTTGCTGTTTTTCAAGAACTTCAACCCTCAGCAGAGAAAGTGTATACGTGGTCGCAAATACGGAGACCAAGTAAAAATAAACAAAACAGAATAAGCACTGAAAGTTTTCAAAAATGCACTGAAAAACTGCAAGCTTACTTTATTTGAACAGTTTATTTTTATTTCTGTTTAAGCTACGTCAAGGCTTGCACAATAAAAAGTTAGCAGAAGATTTTGATATATCTGTCTCAAGTGTCAGCTGCATTTTTATTTCATGGACAAACTATTTGTATTTTGTATTGGGTTCTATGCCTATTTGGCCAACACGGGCAGCAATAGACAAGTTCATGCCATTATTTTTCAAGGAAATTTATCCAAAATGCAGAGGAATAATTGATGCATCAGAAATTAAAGTTCAGTGTCCTTCCAGCATGGTCCTCAACAGTGAGATGTATTCCCAGTACAAGAGCCACACCACTTATAAGGGAAACATAGTAATTTCACCATATGACGAAGTCAGCTTTATTGGGGATCTATCTCTGACAAAGAACTAGTGAGACAGTCTGGTCAACTATCTCCACTTGAACCAGGTGATCAGATATTAGCTGACAAAGGGTTTACTATCCAAGACCTACTGTAGTCAGTTACCTGTGAACTTGCTATACCTGCATTTCTGGAAAGTAAAGGTCAATTTCCTAAAGAAGAATTACATGCTAGCAAAAAAATCCACAATCTTTGGGTTCATATGGAGAGAAGCATTTGATGCATTAAGGAATTTTATTTCTTTGATGGTGTTATTCCTTTAAATGTAGCAGGAAGTATAAACCAAATCTGGACTGTTGCTTGTTTGTTAGTCAACTTCCAAGGGCCTCTCTTTCATTACTAGATAGTAAACAACATTACACTGACATCTTGTTTTCAACCTTCTTTATTTAAATGAAATGACCAGCTTGCAGCCTACTTGACCACGAGCAACTCTGCTGGTGGTCTAGAACACGAATTCCTGCGATATTGCGCAGACTGTTCTTTTGGCAAATAAAACCAGATGTAACGCAGGCTAACCACATACAATACTCTTTTTCTTTGGTACTTTCAGTGGTTTCTTTTTTGTCTTTTTGACAACAATATCAGTAGCTGGGTATGGCTTGATAACATCTTTTCTTTAGGGAATGTGCCACTGTT